AGCACATACCTAATTAAAAAAAAAATGTTTTCCATTAACCTCAAGTTAAAGGACCTGTATTTTATGCTGTTTAACTGTTTAGACCTGCATCATGTTATAGTTGGTTATACTGTATTTTCCACTGGAGAAGTCTAAGATAGGCATGGCAGGATCTGTCTTCTCTGTAACCTCTCCTGTGTTCAGTTTTCTGAGGTATAAGATGGGATTATATGAGAAGTCCCTCTCACTAGAGTTCAGATGATGAAAAGCAGTCATATGCCTCTACTTCGAAAAACAGCATAAATTGCACAAATTCTGTACTGGGAATCCTGATAAAGTGTGTTATTGACTGAGTATGTCCTTTGGAGAGCTACCATCAGGGCAGCTCACAGGGTTCCATGTGGTGGTCGCTGGCGTCAGCTCTGTTGATACCTTGCCCATAAGTGAACCCTTCTGTCCACTTACAATCCTCCCCATTCCCTCATAGCCCCTCTCTAAAGTTCCAGGGTATGTGTATTTCCATGACTTTTCTTGAAAAGTGGGCTGGTTCAGCACATGGCCATGGTAACCACACTGCTACTCAGATCCTCTCTCACAACTGTGAGGTCCACATCATGCCAGTTTACACACAGCCATAGGAAGAAAATTTAATGCAGAAGAAGAGGATCCAGAGGCAAACAAAAGACAAGACTGGCAAATTTGGAAGGGGTCAGAGATAAGACACAGACAGGGGCAGGTAGCTTCAGAACCAACTGCCTGCATTTAAATTCTGGTTTTATCACTAATTCTCCTTGCGTCCTTGGCCAAGTTGTTTAGCCTTCTGTGCGTCACTTCCACAGTCTAAAACGGGGTGGTAATACATACCTCATGGGGTTTTGTAGCAATGAATTAAAGTTCTTGGCACATTATTCAGTATCTCTAAAAAATCTATTATTATTATTATTGTCATTATCATCATCATGAATATGGCCTAGAGACAAGAACTGGAAACCATAAAGAAAATAATTTCCCAATGATATTAATTCCCTAGGGCTACCATAACAAATAACCACAAATTGGGTGTCTTGAAACAACATAAATTCATTGTCTCATAGTTTAGGAATCCAGAATTCTGAAATTAGGTATCACCGTGGTTGTTTCCTACTGCAGGCTCTGAGAAAGACACACCCCATACTCCTCTCTTAGTTTTTGGTGGTCACCAGCAATCCTTGTTACTCCTTGACTTGTAGGTGCATCACTAGAGTCTCTGCTTCCATCTCCTCTGTGTCCCTTGTTGTTTCCTTTTCTGTCTCTTATAAAGACTATTTCAGGGGCCAGCCAGGTAGCATGGTGTTTAAGGTGCTGGGTTCCACATAGCCAGCTGCACAGTTCGAGTTCCAGACTCAGTGTCTTGAAAAACACACGTGCATGTGTGAATGCATGCCGACCTAAAAATTCCCAGGGATTGTGATGTGACCATCCTCCCTTGGGGGTGATTTCTCACTTTCTCCCTGCAGCAAACTAAAAATAAAAAAATAAAGACACTTGCACTGCATTTAGGATCCAACCTAGTCCAGTATGAGATCAGGTTGAACCTTATTCTAATTACATCTAGAAGAGCCGTATTCCAAAGAAGGTCATATTCTGATGTTCCAGCTGGACATAAATTTGGGGTGACATCATCCACAGCAACTCTGAGCTGGTTGGGATAAAAATGAAGAAACTGCGCAATTCCTGGAAGAATGCATCCATCCTTGAGGGAGAAGTTTATGAGCTGGAGACACTGAGTTGTGTGAGTGGGCAATCAAGCAAAATGCGCCAGCTCTCCTTGAGGTCATCACTGAGTCAGAACCAGTGATCAAACACAGAGTTAATCAGTGTACTCTCACTAAACTGCACAGACTTCAGAGAAAAGATGAGTTTATACAACAGGAATAGGCTGTACCACCAGGCAACACTCTTGTCACAAGTTAACCCTGAAATCATCCTGACACTGGGTAATGCAATGGAAAGGCCATGAGCTTTGGAGCCTGAGGGAACTGGATTTTAGGATCATGTACTGTATGTTATGTGTTAGTGCCACTTACCACCTTTGTGGCCTTGGGCAGGGTATTCATCCTCTCAGAGCCTCCATTTTTGCCTCTGAAAACTGCACACTAGTACCAACAATTTGTAGACTTACTCCAGGTCTGAAAATAAATACATTTAGAAGCTTCGCCTACATGCCTGGCATACATTTCAATGGCTGACTGCTATTCATTTTATTTTGTTGGTGCTATTATAACAAGATACCTGAGACTGGATAATTTATAAAGAAAATAAACTTAATTCTTACAGTTCTAGAGGGTAAAGTCTAATATCAAAGCACCAGCAGGGCCGGTTTCTGATGTGCACTGGTTTCTGCTTTAAGACAGGGCCTTGTTACTGTGTCTTCATGTGGCAGAGAGGACAGAAGAGCAAAAAGTCCTAGGTAATTCTCTCTAAACCATTTATAAGCCGACTTAATCACCCGCCAAAGTCTACCTCTTAATAATATCGCACTAGTGAGTAACTTGTGTTTTCTTAGGTTTTTGCCATAGAGTGCATGGGCTCACCAGAGATGGTGAAAGGGAAAGTGAGAAATCACCCCCCAGAGGGGATGACATGCCACAATCCCTTCTCCTCCATTCTCCTGGATTTGGGGGCATACATATACATGCACCCAGTATGATTTTGAAGTCACTAGGTCTGGAACTTGAACCATGGAAAGCCATGTGGGACTCCAGAGCCTTCATCACCTACTGGCCTCTGGTGATTATTTTTTCACATATGAATATGAATGGGGGGAATTCAGACAATAGCAGTCTTAATTATCATTACTGGGAGGTGGCAGCCTCGTTCTCTCCCCTTTACCAGGCTTGAAGGCAAGAAAGCCAAAGGGTTCATGAAGAAATACATGAAGACCTATCTAATGCATCCCATCATCTCCTCCCCCACCATCACCTCCACTCCAGCACAAAGTAAACTGAGTAAGCCCACAGCAAGTATTAGCTGAATTAAATGACGTCTCAGCTGTGCTCCAGATATAAGCACTGCCTCAATGAATAAATCCCCAATAGCCTTTCAGGATTTCGAACCCAACCAGGACAACCTATGACAAAGGCTATTCCTCTCATGACTTAGCAAATGAATATGGCACAGAGCAAAGGCAACACAAACCAGTATCAGTCCTTTATTGTAGGTCAACTTTTAAAGAGACTTAGTGTTGGGACCAGCAGTTAGCATAATGGCTATGTCGCTGAACTCCCACGTAGTCGACTGCGGTTCACGTCCTGGACCCGGTGACTTAAAACTCACGCTGGGTGCGTGTGCGTGTGTGCCCAAGATCCTGAGAGGAGAATGGAGGAGAAGGGATGGTGGCGTGGCCATCCCCTCTAGGGGGTGATTTCTCGCTTTCTGTCTCTCTGTCTTTCTCTGTCTGTCTGGCAAGCGCACGCGCCCTGTAGCAAAACCCTCTCAAAAAAAAAAAAGGAGGGACCAGCAGTTAGCGTAATGGCTATGGCACTGGACTCCCACGTAGTCGACTGCGGTTCACGTCCTGGACCCGGTGACTTAAAACTCACGCTGGGTGCGTGTGCGTGTGTGCCCAAGATCCTGAGAGGAGAATGGAGGAGAAGGGATGGTGGCGTGGCCATCCCCTCTAGGGGGTGATTTCTCGCTTTCTGTCTCTCTGTCTTTCTCTGTCTGTCTGGCAAGCGCACGCGCCCTGTAGCAAAAACCTCTCAAAAAAAAAAAAAAGAAAAAGAGACTTAGTGTTTACTAAAATCATATTTGGAGGCCACATCACTCATCTTGCATGAGCACATTTTTATTATTCTATTCGCTTTTCATTACTAAGGTGATACATGTTCATTACAGAAGTTTTAGGAACTGTATTCACAAGAAAAGAACAAAATCATACTTAATCCCAGATAGATATAGAGTTGTTTTTCTTTAACAATATTTAATATTTCCCCAGTCATTGGTCTCCAATATAAGTTTTTAACAATTCCCTGATATTCCATTATATAAGCCTACAAATATATATATGTGTGTATCTATGCACATATATATATATAAAATTTGCTATAGGGCATGCACACTTACCGGAAAGAAGCTCAGGGAGAAGGAAAGTGAGAAAGCACCCAGAGGAGATGGCCAATCCCTCCTCCATTCTCCTCTCAGGATTTTGGGCATGCACGCACACATGCCCATTCTGTTTTTCAAACTGCCAGCTCTGGGATTCAGCTTGCACAGTTGGCCATTACAGGAATCATAACTTATCTTTAATATTTCGTTACTGCAAACAAGAATGTGATATATAAATGTGTCCCTTATTAACTTTATAAATCCTTGATAAATTACAAATTATTGTAATCCTACTCCATTCTCCTAAGGTTGCAATCAACCCAAAAGTAAGTTTGCTCACTTTACAAAGAACTGATTTTATTTCTGATTATCCAGTACGAAAATCTGCTCTCAGCTTTGGCCATATTCTCTTAAGCAAACTCTCTCCTGGGTGCTTGTGTCCAGTAACTAATAAATATCAGCATATTCAGGTCTGATTGCTTAGCTCACTTGTTCAGGGCCCAGGACTAGCAGGCTCAATGTCATGGGATTGCGGCTCCATACATACTGGCCAGTTAGTTACGTATCCAAAGACTGTTTCCATAACCCCAAACAGCTGTCATTTAAATGTTGGCTCTTAGTTTCCAAGGAACTAGTCGAAAGAGCATGGGTGGATGAACACAATCCGTCTCCACTACTGGAAAGGCGATGTGTCAACACTTTCACCTTCCCTAGGGAAAACAGCTCCAGAGTACTCGTGTCAAATCACATAGAAAGAGTGAAGCTGTAGAAAAAAGAAGCCAGAATAATGTTAGGGGAGTAATTGGCTGATCACAGATACATCTCAGTTATGAGCATAGTCTGCGAGTACCCTGATGCTCCTATGGGAGTCAAGCCCAACAGCATGTTTCAGATTGCTTGTGTGGTGTTATTTAACTGGCAATTTCCTCTTGCAGCTGACACAGCGCTTGGCACTGATGATGTATATGATGAAAAAGGATGCCAGTGTGATGTGTCAGTAGAAGACCTCACCCCGCCGCTGAAGACTGTCATTCGAGCCATCAGGTTGGTGGAAATCTTGAACAAAATGATTCTGAGACATGCCCCTGGATATTTGAGTTACTTAGTGTTGCTAGGCTCTTTTTTCTGCAGGTAAATATCCTGGAATAACTCCTTTCCCTTTTCCTATTCATCCACATGCCTATCAAACTGTGAATTTTTTTTCTTAATACAAAACTCTACTGTGTTCAACACAAAGAACGTTATAAAAGGTGATGGGATTTGAAAAGCCAGGCCATACTAGAGCGCTTATATGAGAATTGGCTTGTCATGTATATTTGTTGCTTTAAGAACATTTAATTTATGGAAGCCACTGGCAAGAGAGAGTTGAGTGTATGTGTATGTGTGTGTGTGTGTGTGTGTGTGTGTGTGTATATATATATATATATATATATAATGACTTTTTGGTCCAATCTATGTTCTATCTTTTGTATCAAGGAAAAAGCCCCCTAAGTTATTTTAAAACGGGTTGAGTCCTGAACACCAGAGACCTAGAGCACTCGGCCATGACTTGGCCCAGTCTTCTGAGACGTAGTTGTTACAGGCTGACCTTAATTTGCTTCCTCCACTCACAGCAAAGAGCTCAGTGTGTACCCAAGTAACATACATTCACACTTCCAGGAACCTTTCCCAGCACAAGGAAATCAGAATGTGGACTGCCGTGTATTCAGCCGGTCTAGTGTAATCCCTTTGGGAGAATCTATCTGTCAGGGAATACTGAGGGACTGTATCACAAAAAATATACCTCTAGTCTCTTTAACTCTTTCTCACTCTTACCAAAATGCCAGAGAAAACCTGATTCAAACAACTTAGTTATTCAAATGCTTGGTTGAATCTCAAAGACAGTATGATTTATTATTTGCTTCTATGTTTAGTTGATCTGTTAGCATCTTGTGTGACATTGCCTTTCTCTAAGGTTGAAGTAAAGGCCCTCTAGGTTATTTTAAAACAGTTTGAGTCCTGAACGTATTTGGAGAATCAAACAGGGTTGCAATAAATTATAAGTTATCAAGGATTTGTAAAATTAATGTCGAGGGTTGAAAGTCACTGGAAAAACAGAAGTGAATAAATATTTTATAAATATGAGAAATATTTTTAAAGTCTGTGGAAAAAAGTTATTATGAAAAACTACGCATGAATTTTTATCTTATTTTGCAACAAAATAAACTTGTACTTTAATTCCATTTTTCACAAACTTTTTGAAGTCCCCTTGTATTTTGATGAAGGATTCCAAGGGCAGAGAAAATCATGGTACGATGAATATGCGTGTATTCCAAAAGATGCTGAAGTGTGATCTGTTAACAGCAACCTAAAAAAAGTGACGTAGAGCCCAGTTAATTTCCAATGGAAATTTCGAGCAACACACCCTCTGGGTGAGGAGACTACACCTTCCCATTTGAGACTGTCTCTGAAAATGCTTCACAATAATGTCATTACAATTGTTAAAAATGCTCCCTGTCTTTCTCAAAGTATCCCAGTTTGGACAACCAATTATACGGTCTCCCTATTCCTGAGGAACCTAGAACCCTTGAGTGATATTTAAGCCCAGAAAACCCAGAATACATCATAAAATGATGTCTAGAGCCTTCGGTTAAAGAGAGAGAGAGAACCTAATACTGCATCGTCCAGTGTGATGGTTAATAGGAGCCACTGGCCACCTCAGGCTATTTACGTTTGTAGTGTTAAGTTTTCAGAAAAGTCCTGACATATTTTTTCTATGTTTTTCTAGCAAAAATGCATCGTGACTTTTCCAACCTAATAAAATTAAATACAACTTAAAATCAGTTGATTCGTCCACACTATCTACATTTCAAGTGCTCACTAGCCACAGGTGGCTAGGGACTACTATACTGGATGAAAAAGATATAGAACATTTCCATCACTGCAGAAAGTTCTACTGGATATTGCTGGTCTAGAAGTCTCCTTGAGGGGCCAGCATGTAGTGTGGTGGTTAAGATGTTGGACTCCCACATGGCTGGCTGCAGGTCAGGCCCCAGACCAAGTGGCTTGAAAATCATGCTGGCTGTGTGTGCATGTGCACCCAAAATCCCAAGAGAATGGAGAAGGGATTGTATTGTGACCATCCTCCCCAGGGGGTGATTTCTCACTTTCCTTCTCTGTCTCTCTCCAGAGAACATGCACCCTATAAAAAAAAAAAAAAAAACTTTAAAAAACAAACAAAAAAAAAAGTCACCTTGAAATTCTTTATTATTTTTTTAGAGAGTTTTTTGCCTTAGGGCGCATGAGCTCACAAAGAGAAAGAGTGAGATATCACCCCCATCAGGGATGGCCATGCCACAATCCCTTCTCCACTCTCCTCCCAGTATCTCAGACATGCAGGCACATGCAATCAGCATGAATTTCAAGCTACCAAGCCCAGGACTGGAACCACAGTCAGCCATGCAGGAGTCCAGTGACATAACTGCTATACATCTGCTGACCCCCACCTTGAAATTCTTTACATGCACTGATTATATCCATCAAAGACCCTAAAAGTGAAGTTGAGGCAATTCAGTCCACAAATTAATGTGACTTGCAACAAGTATGGAAAATCTTATCTAGTCAAAGCAGATTAGGTTTCCTAAAAAACCAGACTTAACCCAGTTTGTGTTATTTCCCAAGACCTTCTGAAACTTTCTGTTTGGCTTCACAACCTATAAAAAGGACGTGGGGTTGCAAGAAAGAAAACAAAATCGGTTTATTCTGCAGTCTAAGCACTTTAACAACAGCTTAGGATTTATTTTGTCATACCTTCTTCTTGAAACTTGACTGATGTTTGTGAAGTCCTTTGCCGAATTCCACTCCTTTTCAGAATGCTTTCCTGGTACTTACTTTTAACAGAGCTTTATTACTTACATGTCTATGCTCTGTGTGGATTTTGAAGCTTTCTGCTTACTATTCGGTGACATTGAGGGGGATGTTTTCTCCCTATATCCTGATTCTGCGTTGTTGTTGTTTAATTGCTTTAAAGTTTTACTAAAAATTACTGAATTCTATGAAAACCTAATGACTACACTCTATAGATTAATAACTTAATTATAAATCTTTCACTCATGGTAGTTCTTCATTTCCAAGGATATAGGATTAAAAGACCAAACAATACAAGTAGCCACTCTGATAAGAAGTTTGGGGAACCAGCAGTTAGCGTAATGGCTATGTCACTGGACTCCCACGTAGTCGACCGCGGTTCGTGTCCCGGACCCGGTGGCTTAAAACTCACGCCGGGCGCGTGTGCGTACGTGCCCAAGATCCCGAGAGGAGAATGGAGGAGAAGGGATTGCGGCGTGACCATCCTCCCTGGGGGGTGATTTCTCGCTTTCTGTCTCTATGTCTCTCTCTGTCTGTCTGGCGAGCGCACGCGCCCTACAGTGAAAATCTCTCCAAAAAAAAAAAGAAGTTTGCAGGTATATGGCCCTTAAATCATATAGAAAATTGGCCTTTGTCCAAACAGCTTAATTATATAAAGTCCCACGTCAGCTGACTGAAATGCTTTTTATTAGACCATACCACTTCTTATAGCTCACTTGATTACAAATGTGAACTGTCTTCTGTTTGCTTCTAAAATAGCAACTTCGTTTTGGTGATTTTCTTGTTACTTTTTTGGTTATTAAAATACTTAATTTGGGAGCCAGCAGGTGGTGTAGTAGCTAAGGCACTGGTTTCCCACATGGCCAATCATGGTTTGCGTCCCAGACCCAGAGGCTTGACACTCTCACCAGCCATGTGTGCATGCATGTCTAAAAATCCCAGAAGGAAAACAGAGGAGAAAATATTGTGGCATGACCATCCCTAGGGGGTGATTTCACACCTTCTCTCTCTGTGTCTTTCTCTGTCTCTCTGGTGAATGCATGCACCCTATAGCAAAGATCTCTCTCTAAAAAAAATAAAAACGAAAACAAAAAAACTTCATGTAAATACTTGATTATGCCTTTTGTATTCCAATAGCTCTCACAATAATAGTTTTTCCTAAAAGTCAAATCAAAATTAAAATATGTAACAGAAAATACATATTCCACTGCAAGGATGACAGTATAAAAATAATATCATTGCATTCACAAAGAATAAATTCTTGTTTTCAGTTATTAATATTTATTAAGCATCTGCCATGTTCTAGTTATTTTTTTTCCTAGTTACTTTTGAGAGTAAAGATTCTCAAGAAATGAGATGATTAAGGCTACTCTCCAAACTTGCCTGGATTCTATTACCCAAATGCACTTTGAGACTTTTTTAATGAATGAGGTCACTTTTATAGTACATAGTGAACAAATGACTATTCTCAGACTATTTCTAAAATGTATCCTTTGCTGAGAGGGAAAAAAAAAACTTAGCTTTGTAAATTTCCTCCAGGATTATCATGAATTTTTCTCAAAATCTTATTTTATGAAAATGCACAAATTTGCTCAAAATGTGTTTTCAGACTCACCTCTGGGAGTGAAAATTGTACTTATTTTTTAACAAAAGCTCTATATCTTGGTAATAATTTAATTTAGACAATGTTAAATTTTGTTTTGTACATTCATACACTTTAGTTTATAAAGAGATAACAGTGATGTAAACAAATTGATTAAACTCTAGAGTATTTGACACACTCACTTGTCCTTTATCATGGTAAGACACATTTTCCTATCACTGTTTGAAAAATATAGCCCATAAATTACCTGGATGTGTCAAAATGTCTAACATGTGCCATAGGGAATATCTGAAGAGGTTGAGTGTTATTTCTCATACTAGTACTTGGTACTGTAGACACTACACAAATTTGAATCTTGGACAAAACACACAAAAATTAATATTTGCTTTTGCTTTTTTATTTGAAATAACAAGTGTTTGAAAGTGGGAGGTGGCATTTGAGAAGGCCTTCAGAGGAGGGAAAGGAGAGGTCTGGTAGTTATATAGGAACTAACGAGGTTATTGAGGTGGGGGAGGTTTAGGCAGAGGTGACTGGAACTGCAGAGAAGTGAATGTGGCATTAGAAAGCATGTGTACTAGGGCCAGCCGGTGGCACA